CTCCTCTGGCCCACCCCCTATACACCCCATATTCCGAGTGGTCGCAACGATCGGATGACCAAACAATTATGCGGTCATTGAGAATTCCATATCCGGTCCCAAGATGAACTTAGCCCCAGATAACNTGTTCTCAATCGCGGTTTTGCGCAGCATCTCACAGTCCATACAGCGGGACAGCCCTAATCGAAATCCCTTTTCGCGTAAAGTTCACACAAGATTGCTTTACATCCCACAGTTCAAGACACCGCCGAAATGTTCGCAGTAAAACGATCTTAGTTTCACATGAGAAAGATCATTCACTTTGATGTTTCCTCCACGGCACTGTTCAGACAAATAAATTCAGAAGACCTTGATGAGTTGGAATCGTCTAATCCAGATTGAATGTGACACGCAGTGTTAGAGTAGATTAAATTGTTTTTGCCAATGTTTTTCTGATCCCGATAATGAATTCATAGATGAATTAGTTGGAATTCGTGTTGAGGGTCATTAGATAGCAAACACCGTGTCTGACATGTCATATTGTAATTGAAAATGAAATAAAAACTCGTAGATACCTGAACTATTCTCTATTCCACTGGTTCGAAAGATCTCGACAATCATTGTTTAGCAGATCATGCTATTTTTATTTACACAAAACGTCAAACAGATTCATTGTTTTGAAAGGTAAATCTTCGTGAGCAATAAATGAACACCGTGTGTTCTGTAAATCTGATTCGACTTGAAACGTTTGCCAGGGTTGTAAATTACCAATATCGTGGTGCACAAATATTCTGGCATCAGAATGGCTTGACAGAAGCACATTTGTTCGGCGTCCGGCATTACAAAACCAAGTGGGTGAGTCCCACGAAATTGTGTTTATTTGGTGATGTACAACGGTTCAACTGTGGTAATCATGTGTCATCATACAATTGAAAATGAAGTTTTAACTAGGAAGCATCCATCACTATTTCCGGGTTAAAGTTTGAATATTTGCCGTTTGGCAAAGAATGTTGTTTTTACCCATACAAAACATCAAATACAGAAACTAATTTTCAAATTATAATTGTCAGCGTGTGTTGAGACTACTGCTAGAGTTGTTGTTGTGAAATTTATGCTGGAAAATCTCAGCATCAGAATGACTTCCCATAGAACATTTTACATTCAAAGTAAAATTAATAAAAATCGAATTCATTATCGGATTAAGTGATTTTGTATTCCCCTAACCAACAGACCCCTTAATAGAATATGATGTTGAATGATTGTAGCTCGAGAGATTTCTCTGAGCTGGAATTGTTCTGTGCAGACGTTTCGCAGACAGACCTGGCAACATCATCAAGAGAATAAAAGAAACGCGATCTAATCGTTTATCTGTGTCGCCTACAAGAACACAGTTAGTCAGAGTTACATCTAGACGGGTACGCCAAATAGGAACGTTGAGGATTCTTCCAAGTTGTTACATTTACCTCATAAAGTTGGTTAAATAATCAGTGTCACTGTTCATCCGTAACCAAGAACTAGATGTTCCCGACGTTCAATTTTGGTGATCTAGACTTCCGTGACCGCAATCCATGCACGACCAGGTAGTTTCATATCATCCAATCACCGTTTAGGAAGCTCGGTCAATGGTACACCGGTCGAACATCCGAGTTAGTACATATGATGTGTCGGTGCAAACGGTTAAGTGATTGGAGGACGGTCGTTCAACCAATCATATGGACTATTACCTTCCATAAAACATGCTCTAATTTCATCAGTAAATATAAGCATTTGCTGTTCTGGTTGGAGCCAATCCAGCTATGAGTAGTACATTACGGGTTCTCGTATATCTACATTCAGTACTATTCTGATTATCCAATCGATACACGCGGAAGTA